GAGCGTAAGATTATTAAGTGGTGAAGAAAGATGAGAAGTCTAATACCAAACTATCACCACTCTTACACTTTCTTTTTCTTCTTTCCTGTCTTAGTTCTGTTTCGTAGTGTGTTTTCGACCAATACTTTGTCATCTACAGAAACTCTTACAATTTCAAGCAATCGAACCATTGTGTCTCCTGGTGATGTCTTCGAGCTTGGCTTCTTCAAAATCACTACAAGCTCTCAAGATAGTGATCGTTGGTATCTTGGGATTTGGTAAAGTCAAGCTCTAAGAGAACCTATGTTTGGATTGCCAACAGAGACAATCCTCTTTCCAACTCCATTGGAACCTTAAAAATCTCTTATGCTAAACTCATTCTCCTCGACCAAACTGATACTGTTGTTTGGTCAACGTATCAAACTAAAGCTATGAAATCTTCGATGGTTGCAGAGCTTCTCGCTAACGGCAACTTGGTGCTTAGAGACTCCAAAACCAAAGATCCAAATCGATTCTTGTGGCAAAGCTTTGATTTTCCGGTAGATACTTTGCTCCCGGAGATGAAAATTGGTTGGGATCTCAAAACAGGACACAACAAGTTCCTTAGATCTTGGAGAAGTCCATATGATCCATCAAGCGGAGATTTCTCGTTCAAACTCGAAACTAGTGGATTACCTGAGTTTTATCTTTGGAAGAGAGACAACAGAGTGTACCGAACCGGTCCGTGGAATGGAATATGGTTTAGTGGCATACCGAAGGTGCAAGATTGGAGCTACGTTGTTAACAATTTCATAGAGAGCAAAGAGGAAGTCGCGTACACTTTCAAAGTCACCAACCGGAGCATCCACTCGAGACTTGCACTGAGTTCCAATGGGTTATTACAATGGTTTTCGATAGTACAAGAACAGAACATGATGATTGATTTTTACCGGAAGATGAATGTGATATTTACATGAAATGTGGACGTAACAGTTACTGTGACACAAATACGTCACCGGTTTGTACTTGTATCAAAGGTTTCGAACCGAAGATTGTGAATGCATGGGCTTTGGAAGATACGTTCACTGGTTGTGTGAGGAAGTCACCCATTAGTGATGGGTTTTTCCAGCTCAAAAGTATCAAGTTGCCGGAGACAAGTGGAGTGATTGTGGACAAGCGAACCGGATTGAAGGAATGTGAAAAGAGATGTGTTAATGATGTGTTAATGATTATAATTGTACCGGATTTGCGAATACGGATATCCGCAATGGTGGATCAGGTTGTGTGTATTGGACCGGTGAGCTAGCGGATATGCGGACTTACGTCGACGGAGGTCAGGATTTTTATGTCAAAACATCTGCTAGCTCTACTCCTACAATTTGACATGGATCCGAATTTCTGGAATTTCAAGACATTGGAATTTTATATGTTGTTATGCATATATATGTATGTCGTTTTTGGTTATTCATATATATCCATTAAATATTTGAATATAATAATACAATATTTTAACTATTATTTGTATCCGAGTCTCAATAGTCTATATATCTTGATTTTAGATCGGATCCAAAATGTGTTCCAACTCCGAATATTTTATTCACTTGATATTTCTTTGTTTTACTTTTGAAAGTTTTCACACACTTTTTTATTTTAAAGTATATTAAAATGAATATACCTAATTAATACACACACCAATGAAATGCTTCTTCTTGGAAGAAAATACTTCTTGAATATATGCGCATGCGTTTTTAGTTAAGTGAATTGATGTAATAATAGGTTTGACTGTGGAAACTTAGTAACTAAGAGCATGTCCATTGGGGCTTTGAATTGGGGTTCTGAGCTTTAAAAGAATTAAAATAAAAGAAATAATGAATTGAAAGCCCAGAATTGGTTCTGGTTTGAGAGGTTATAGAGCCCTTCAGAACCCCTTACGTGGCAGCTTTTCATTGGTTCGGATTTATAAACATAATTAAAATAAAAAAATCAGACTTTCTTTCTCGAGTCTCTTTCTGGTCTAAGGTTGCGAAGGCGATTCCGGCGAAACGAAGGTGATTCCGATCTTCAACGCGTTCGAATTCATCTCTTCGATGTCATCTGGATTTGATCTATCGAGTTTGTTAGAGAGCAAGAGGAAGCTAAGATCGATGTTTACTTCACGGAGGTCTGCGTCGGAGATAATGGAGAATATCAAAGGTATTGGGAAAGAGATGAACATGATGGTGAAGAAGACGAAGGATTTCAAAGTGAAGTTACAGGGGAAAATGGAAGGTAGAAAAAAGACAGATTTCAGTGACGGCAGAGGTATTAATTGAAATGAAGAAGCTCGAGAAAAGCTCGTGACGAATCCGATCGAAGATTGGAATGGAAGCGAACCTTGATTCGGTTTGGAACGTATTGACTGATTACGAGAAGCTATCGGATTTCATACCTGGCCTTGTCATTAACGAATTGGTCGAGAAAGAAGGCAATCGTGTTCGTCTTTTCCAGGTACTTGCTCTTTGAAACCAAATTCTTCGATTAAAGTAGAAATTCATGTATCAATGCATTTAGGTTCAGATTCTGGTAGATATGATGATAACTTGGTGCATTGGGTGTCACTAAAGCTTGAGTCTGCCATGTTCTTGTTGAAATTGGTGAAACATTGCTCGGTTACAAGTTAAAATGGAGTTAACTCATTACTCATGAGCTTTATTTGAATGAATTTCATATTGGTTTTTGGTTGGATTCAAATTTGGAGAATTTAGCTTAGGGTTGTCCTGATTTAAAAACTCTTGATCTCTGTAATTGTGTTCTAATTACAGGAAAACCTCATAAAGTTTAAGGCTTTATGAAAACCCGAAACAGAGTTTTTTCATCACTCCTTAAACATTTTTGTTGTTGTTGTAGATGAGAGTGTAGATGAGAGGGTAATACTATTGTAGAAACACTACAGACAGAGCAATGTACACGGTCCATTATGCCTGCATCCTTCAGGCTCATCGGAACCACACCGCTTTCCCTCACGGGGCTCATTGAACCGGTGTTTGAGCTAGAGGGTCTATTTCTAGTATATGTACATATAAGTAATCCTATGGTTCGTCATAAAGCTTCTTTGAGTTTTTTTTGTTTTCTTGTCTTTGATCGTGATCATGCAATCTCAAGATTTAGCATTTATACATTATAACAACAATCTTGTGATTTCCTCACTCCTTGCAACCTCAGAGTACAAAGCAATATATTGATGTTCTTTAAGTCTCTTGTGAGAAGCGTCATTGACTTGTTAATGTTGTGTGCGTTGAAATGTTGTGATTGCTAAATGTGAGGTATTCGTGTGCTTCAGATTTTTTTATCTCATCAAAATTTTTTTTTGGTGGTAGCTCTACACTTATATATATTTCTCTTACAAACTCTTTTTTATGGATGAAGAAAGGTTGAAACTTATGTTACATTTTGTAAATTTTGGATTCTTAAGAACCCCTTTAGAGTTATAACCAATGGAGGAGAAAATTTTTAAAAAAGAATTATGGAGTTCTAAACTAAGTTTAGTGTTAGTTTAATATTATAAATTTGTTAAGAACCCCATTAGGGGTTGTGACCAATGTACATGCTCTAATATTATGCACCGGGAAAAGAATCATTTGATTATATTTCTTAGTAAAATTTAGTATCACTACAAAAAGATGTGGATTGTATTATTTATTTTATTAGTTTACATCATTTTTTTTTATTGACACAACTAAAACTACATCATTTCTATGAGTTATTTTCAAAATAGTGACTCTAATATTTTGTATCAGTAAAAAAAATCGATGTTAATATGTGTCGCCTATAAAAAATGAAACTAAAATTTACATCAGTGATATTAAATATTTGTTTCAGTTATAAAAATTGTTGAATATTTATATTATTTATTTAGTTGATTTTATAATTATATTAGTTATTTAAATTTTTTTATATATTTATGATTAGTTGATGATAAATTTAATATTTTTTATTAAAAATAATTTAATCAAGAAAATAAGCGAAAGATTAATCATGTTTTATTTGATATTTTCTATCAATAGTATGATTAGATTAAATGTTAAAAATTATTATAAAATACTAATATCATTTAGCCCAAAAATTACTGTTACAATCACACAACAATGATTTTTTAATAAATGAAAAAGGCGAAGTCAATCTTATTAATAACATTAGGCGCTTGAGTTCTCATATTTATACAAATATTATCTCTTTCACTTTGTGGGACAAAAATTTTTTATAGTTAATTGCGTCAGTTTTTATTGATATAAGTTTTCTGTCATTTTTAAATGATCTTAACCAAAATTAGTAATTACATCAATTAATAATTGATGTAAATTCATATTTTTGTATCAGTCTTATTAAAGTGATGCAAACTAATATAGTTTTACATCAGTTTTAATAAATCAAAACTAAATTAGTGAATAACAACATCAATTATTATTATTGATGTTAAACTATATATTCTGTATCATTTATTAATAAGTAATTCAAAATAATGTTATTTAGTTTTGTGATGCTATTTAATTGATGTAACTTAACCTTTTTTGTAGTGTATAAGGACTTTGATTTGATCCAGTTAAGAATTCCAAACTTCCATTTAATTACTCTTATTCCATTTATTCACAATGGCAGAGATGAATGATAAACATAATACAACATGTACACTTGAAAGTTCTTAACAAAAGTGGGGGGAAGCAAAAACAAAAGAAACATCAACCATTCATAGGAAATAATCCCGTAAAGTTGTAAATGTTATCATGCATACACACAAGAAGTTCACCATAACCATTATAATCAATTATTAATTGATGTAAATTCATATTTTTGTATCAATCTTATTAAAGTGATGCAAACTAATATAGTTTTACATCAGTTTTAATAAACCGAAACTAAATTAGTGAATAACAACATCA